AGTGAAATATGAACAAACTTACAATTTCGACTGAAATTACCAGAATCCTGTTCTGGTTAACAAGAACTTCTAGTCAACTGAAATACTCTAATCAACTGTTTAATCTGAACAGTCCCACAGAACTTCCTACAGGAATCTTCTTGTTCTTAATAGATTATTATGCTATGTCACTATATTTTTTTATGTTATGTACACCATATCTTTTTTTATCCGTGAATTCTTGACGAAATTCCATTATATATATCAAGAGAATTATTCTAAAATAAAAGGAAAATATTCTACACACAATATTATTCTCCTTTATCACAAAAAACTCTTTCACAGTAGAAGTTTATTAATTGTATTATTATTAATTGTTTTCAAATTATATTATATTTAATCAAGACTTTGGTTAACCAAAGATTTCTGGTTAATCAGAATGTTGTTAATTGGAACAGAATTCTAATAGCTTCAACCGAAATTCTGCTTCGTTCATATTTCACTAGACATCTGGTCTCAATTCAACTAAACTTTTCTTTCCCATGTACAAATTCGACGGCGTGAAACGTCGATACGCTTGTAGAAATTAATCTGTTGCGTTTCACGCCTCTTCACGTCAGTCTCGTTATTTTCGCGTGCGATCACCCACGCGTGCCCGCGCGTTCGCTGAAAACGCAATTCCGATGCGTCTCGTTCTCCTCGTCATCTATTTTCTTAGTTACCAGTTTCTCGTTTTGTCCCTCTCCCTTCCTCCCTGCCCCCTCTCGCGAGTGAGCGACGCGATGCGAATAAACATTTACCCGGAGAAGTACCACGCACTTCCGGCCGAACGTCAATTAGAGACATGTGTAAGGGCTGCGCGCGGAATGCGTGTTTACTCGTTGTAGATTCTCATCATTCTCTAACGACACTCGAGTAGTCGTTAGTCTCTGCGCCGGTGTCCTCTCGGTCTATACGGCGTATTACAGGCACGACAACTCAATCGAGATGACGCGAAGCGCTTTAAAACCTTCCTACGCCCCGCTCTTATTAATATTCCGCGGTGGTACCGTGAGTGGTTACGTCTGTTATACCGACACGGCGTCGAGTGCACGATTACGCCGATGTTTATAATTGACACCTCGCGGAAGCTTCGTGTTCACTTCGGACATAAGAGCGAATTCGTAGCAGCATCAATTCAGACTTTCAGTGCTGCGTTGAATTACGTGAAGCGACTCGAATCGAAATTTTGCCACTACTTTGACGCTTTTGAAAATAGTTTGCACCTACTTAGATGACATATAGCCCAAATAAAACCTACTTTGACAATATTGATACTAATTTATGCTATTTAACATTCATTTCTGTTTATTATATTTTTTTATAATTTCATGAAAAAATCTTATGTAGGAGCTAAAGCTTCAATAGAGGTTTGCAACTGAATTTATTTTGCTGCTATTCTAAGATCCTATTATAATACAACTCTAAAGAAAGCAAAAACGAAAATTTCAAACATAATCCAAGTCAAAGTTGGAATAAATTATATCGTTAGAATTAAATTTGCTTAGCTCCTACTGCGTTGTAGAATTCAAGATTTAAAATAGAGCCAAAATTTCGATCTGGGGGTTACAACGTTATTATTCTCTGCACAAAAATCATTATTTTTGTATTTGGAACTAAAATATTTGGTATATGATTTGGTTTACATTGTCGTATTTTTTATTCATGTCGAGTAAAATGTATTAGTGAAAAAGTAAAATATCCATAACGACAATTAAATATTTTGGTTGCATTTACCAAATATTTGGTCGATCTCATTTTAAATAAATTGGTTTCACATACCAAATAGTCATATTGACAATAAAATCTCTTTTAGTGTGCTTATACGAAAAAAATGTCTTATTGCTGCAGCTAATGGTGGTTTGTTGAAAGTATACTTGTTGCTGTAGCAACGAATTCGCTGCTGTAACTGAAACTTTTACTATCTTTGTTACTAAATCCAAGAAAAAAATAATCTTCTGCTTAGTGAAATCCTCTTTTACATAGCCTCAAGAGGATTCTTCTAATATCAAAAGAAAATCCTAACAGCCATAAAAAAAGAACTCTAATTGCAAAAAATGCTATTTTCTGTAATTCCATATTCTAAGAGAAAATTTTTACCGAAATAAATTGGTTCTCTTCTAATGAAGAGGAATAATATTGTGCTTAAAATTTTTCCCCCTATCGTTTTAAGAGAATCCTCTTGAAGCCACATATAAGAGAATTTCGCTAAGAATGCACGGAAAAAAGATATGGTGCACATAATCACACGGAAAGAAAACAAAACTCCGTTAGTGTAACTGAATTTTCTGTTACTTGGGAACCTGATAAAAAATTCGGTTGTAGAAATAGGAAGATTCCTGTAGGAGGTTTCTACTCAGCCAATTGCTCTCAGTTATCTCAACTGAGTTTTAATGCAGCTGAATGTTCAGATAAATGTTCTCAATGACAGAGATATTATTTCTTATCAACGAGTTTTTCGTCTGCTTTTCACTCAGTTACTCGGACTGAAGTTATATTTTCCATGCGGAAATATTTAATTGTAAGCAGCACAGTTGCGTCACCCTAATTATCTTTGTGTGATAGTAATGTGTATGGTCGATATGACCCGGTTACTTTAGTACATCAAGGTAGTTGAGCGTGATCTGATTATGACAACCAGAAATCGATTGGGGTAACATTTACCATAGATACACTTTGGTTGGAGCAAGCAGATATTGTTACTGTATCTCAGCAATTGTTTTGTGGTTACAGCAACCACGTAATTAGTTGTTTCGGGTTTTACTATGGGTTAGTATAGCTAGATTTATATGTGAGTCAACTACACTGTTTTTTTTTGTATGAGATTATATTTCTTTAGGGTGTACATCGATTTCATAGTTAAATATATGCTTATACTTTTATACTTTTAGCAGTTATACTTTTAGGTATCCATATGTTACTACAATATTTATCTACCATTTGCAGATCTACCATCTACCATTTCTGCTAGTTTAACTTTCTTTCCGTGCACTGAGAGAAAAAATGATTGATCTAATTAAAATTATGGTTATTTTTGGTCCTAACCGTTTGGTTGTTCTAACACGAAAAAGATAGTAACATGCACATAAAGTTATTATCACACGGAAAAGAATTTCAATTCGTGTAACTAAATAGACGAAAAATAATATCTCTGTTATTGTAATCGAAAACATTCGTCTGAACATTTTCCGCTACATTAAAACTCAGTTAAGGTAACTGAGAGTAATTTGGCTGAGTAGGAGTCTCCTACAGGAATCTTCCTGTTTCTACAAATGAGTTATTTATCTAGTCCCCAGACAACAGAAAATACAATTACACTAACTGAGTTGTTTTTTCTATGTGAACTGACATTATATAATAGAATGTAACATAGAACAACAGAATAATTTCCATAATTTACAGTAATTATTTTTTTACGTGATTATATGGTTATAGATATCAAACATTTTTTCTTAGTATGTGATATCGCAATGTTGCTTTCGCCTTTGCGCGGTCTCGAGGAAGTTACAGAAAAATAAGTTCGGATTTCAACGTCCTCGCGTAACTTCAAAGCGCCCACGATAGAGCGGCTGGACTTTTCTAAAATGAGAAATATCGTCACGATCCTCCCGCTCCTCGAGACTGCAATACGACTTACGACCATCTCCCTTCGACTCGATTGTTGTTACATTACGTGCACTCTCATACCACTTGCTGTCGAGTGGATTAGAAAACGATGCCGACAAGCGCTTGCGGTATCGATAGATGTCAATCCGCTTGCTCGTACACGTAAAAGCCACTTGAGCGCTGCTTGACAGATACTCCCGCGAGGCTAATTACCGATTCCACGTCGCATTAATGAACTTGCTTTGACTTGTCCCCACTCGACATCACCGCGAGACCTTCCCTGCGCTTTCACGAGCGTCGGCGCGCCGGCCTCTATGTGGACGTGTCTGGGAAGAACACCTAGCTGCCCGTGCGGATTAAGCCGGCGTGCAGCTTATGCGACGCGTCGAATATATTATGAGCGCCGCGGACTAGTTGATATCAACCGAGCGGGGACGACGGGGAAATATACAAATTATGGACCGTCCTTGTGCAGCGCGGGCGGCCTCCTCCTCGCGCTCTCGAAGGTATCGATTAAAAATTAAAATGCGCTGACGTCTGTTACTGCTATATATCCGATCGATCATTCGGCGGGGATTAACCTATACGACGACGAATGCAAATGATGACGTTCGCCGGCGCGGTCGACATTATGATCGTAATTTTAGGCGATTTAGCATAATACCGAAGTTTCCCGATGCGACAACGTCATCGCGTCTAGCCCGCGTTTCCAACGGCATGGACCGAGAAGCACTGTGCTTCCATTGTCCGCGAAGGATGTCGGGCCATTCATATTCATATTCCGCCGAGAGCTGCGGCCTGGCCGGAAAAATTCAGTGACTCGTCTCGGGGGCCTCTATCACCGACACGGTACGCTCCAACGAATCCTAGTTATCGTAACTACGAGGGAGCGCGTCGCCGCGAGACCATCCCCAAAGTGGGTGGACGCAGCTTGAGAGGATCGTACTGGGACATGTTGTTATATTTGAGCATAGAGCCTCGTACGCGGAAAATATGGGACGAAGCTGCGACCCACCGTCGTCCGTCTTGTTCTCTCAACGCGCGCGTTTCGCGCGATCCGGCAGGACGGAACGTACGGCGATAAAAGTGTCTTACGATCGTCATTCTTTCGCGAAAGGAAAGATAACACTGCTGTCTCGGTTACCTTTCGACCTCCTCTGGCATTTTCCCTCCGACTATGGCCAAAGGAAAGTTAATTGAGTGCCCTTTTTTTTCTCCCGCCTATTACCTTTCTGCATTTTGTAGTTGGTCGAACGACATTTGCTGTACTCGGCAAACTCTAATTTGTAACTTGAATCGCGGAAACGACATATTTGCGATATAATGAGAAAATTTAACGAGCGACTCACGTCGCGCTCGCGACGCGTGTGTTCCAGGTGAAAAAGAGAAAGAGAGAGAGAGGGAGAGAAAGGTAGAGAGAAAGAGAGAGAGACAGAGAGAAAGAGAGAGCGAATGAGAGAGAAAGAGAGAGAGACAGATGTCGACGGATGTCGACGAGGTTGCCTTTCATTAGCGAGAAACACGTTCGATTCAGCGCCAATCATGCGGTACCTACTGATGCTCCAGATACTAATCGCCGTGGTGCAGCCCAACCTCGAGGCCAAGCAGCGTGCGCCTAACGTCAGAGGTGAGTTTTGCATTAATACAATGATATCTTTGTGCTCTTAAGAAACGTAATTCATCCACGACACATCAATCTTGTTCGATCATCTCGCGATTTGGACGCGACGATGTCGTAGACGGAGGAAGCTGCTCTCGATATGCCGATTGCCTGCGTCCTCTCCATATCCAGCTTCTCCCGCGATCCGATAAAGAGGGAGAGGCAGGGAGACAGAGAGGGAGGGAGGGAGAGAAATTCGTGATACAGGCCGAAATACGACGGAATCGCGCCGGTTCGATTCGCATGCAGTCCCGCGTGTCCACTTTCTCGAGTTTCTTCGACTCGCATGAAAACTGGCCGCGGCGGGTTCTCCAGCAAAGAAGCCTTACCTTTGCGGGACGCGCTCCTATTAAGAGCACGAATAGGAGCGGGTCGCAGACATCTCGACGCGGCGCGGCGGATTTTGCAAGCGGCAAAAGTGGGCAAGAAAGAGAAGGAATCGCGCAGTTCCTCCGGAGTAAAGTCGGGGTGTGTCGTAAAATGCTAATTCCCGGCTTATTTATACGTCGGGACGCCTTAATGGCTGTTAAAGGCTGATGCTGATTTTTAATTATGCCGATAAATATTTCGAGTGTGTGTCTCGGCGGTGTAGTGGCGCGGGTCATCACTCGAAAGACTCGTAATTGATTATCGTCCGGCGATGCTCGGGGAATGACATGAATATTGTGCCCGGTTTTGGCGGCGCCGCGCGATTTCGCCGATCTTATTGGCGAATATCGACCGGCGTCCGCGATGGTTGGCGGACAGCCAATCGGTATAACTTTTAGCGCTGTTCCTGACGTGAGTGCGCCGTACAGATAAGATGCTGATCCCGCAAAGCCGCGACGTCGCGATGCCGTTCGAATCTATGGCGATTCATACGCTGTCGAGCACGCGTGTGTGGAAATTAACAAATGTATACGTTTGATTAATCAAATCAAATCAAATAATTTAAATCAATAACGTGATAAAAGACGCGCGAGAGTCACGCGTGTGTATGTTCGGCACGATCGACACGCTACCTATTTGTATCTGACGATCGGTGAGAAAATGCATTCTTGTGTGCACGTGTAAATCCGAGTCGAAATTTTGACCTTACTTTCAGCCTTACTATTCCATTTAATATTTATTTTGATATTCTACATCAACCTCTTTTGATTCTATTTAACTCATCCGAGTCGAAATTTTAATTTTACTTTTAGCTTCACTATTCCATTCAACATTTATTTTGACGCTAAAGAAAGTGAAAAGGGAAAGGGATTTCAGGCATGATAAAATTAAGAGTAAATTGTATCATTAGAATTAAACCTACTTTGCTCCTGCTGCGTTGCAAAAATCAAAGTTTAATATAGAGCCAAAGACTCAGGAAGTAGCTCAGACTGAACGTTCCTTTACGTTATTTTGCAAACAAACACGTAAAATTTTAAGTTATTGTTTAAAAAAGACTGATGAATGATCGCGCGTTACACTGAAGAAAGGATTCTGTTGTCGAAACGAAAATTTAATACACCGAGCCAAAATTCGCTTAAAATAGGAGCAACCAAATATTTGGTGATTGCAACCAAACATTTAAATGTCGCTTATATGTGTTGTTTTCTTACTAATACATCCTACTTGGCACAAGTAAAGAACATGCTAATGCCAATCAAATGTGTGTACCCAGAGATATTTTATTTCCAAATATAACAATAATTTGTTCAGTATTTGTTCAATATTATTCAATGGAAGGTATGATGGTAAATGCCATTTGCGTTGTGTGCTCGTATATTGGAACAAGTTGAAAAGGGATTTCTACTTTGCAAATAACTATGTAAATTTTTTTAAAATTGAAAACTATTTTATTTCTTAACTCTAAAAAAATTCTAAATTTCTGAGTGACTAATTAAAGAAAACTGGCAATGTATTGCGCGTGATCATTCGCCAATCTTCTTTAACTAACAACTAAAAAATCTACACGATTATTTGCAGAGTGATGAAAGACTCTTTTGTTCAATTTGATTTAATGTACAATCACGCAACAGAAGTCGTACTTATCGTTATCTCGTATAGCATGTAATCATATAATCTTGTTTGATTAATAACTCCAAATTTGTCTGTGGTTGTTTACAAAACGTTTGCAGAGAAATTTTGTGTTTAGTTTGTCTATACGAATTTCCCACCTGTCGTCAAACATCTCCTTGATGAGAAATTTATTTCGGGGTCCTTATCAGGTTGATACCAATCAATTTTCTTATTTCTATGAGATGATATTATCGAGTCCTAATGATTAATAAGATCCTATTTACTAATAATCCTTATTATTGATAAAGTTCTGAATGCTAAGCTGCGTTACATGAATTATCAGGACTTAATAATATCACTCTGTAGATAACTGATTAGGTTCAATCTGATTAAAACTGTAGGATAAGTTTCTAATTGGACCGTATAAAGGATCAAAAGAAGGATGTTAAAAATAAGCTATTTTTTAACAAATAACAATTATTTGTCCATCAGGCCGGGAGAAAGTTATGAAAATCGGGATTTATTATTGCTGAAACAGTTATATGAAATGCTCTTTAAGTTTTGTACTTTTAATGTTTTTAAAATAAAATCAATTGCACATTTATGTGTGGGAAGGTGAGTAGTCCATGTAGAGAACATAATTTTTTATTCCCATAATATACAAAGTATCTCTTTCCTATCTGATATTTTGACAATCAAATGTATAGAAATCATGGGATTTTAAAAGAAAAGATTTAGAAAAGAAGACGTTTTTGACAGAAGTTGTAGAATTTTTAGGAAAGTATCGGTCAGGGGACGAGTTGATAGAAAAACAGTGACTCCTCCTTGACAACGACCCGCCAATTAAAATAATAGCTAATGAAAGGAGAGTGATTGAGCGCAAAATAGAAGAGAGTTCTCTTGTACTATTGTATCGATCAAATTATTTGTATAAACTATTTGTAAACTATTTCGGCTAAATTATCATTAAACGTTGTTAGTCTAATCTTTTTTAAACGTGTACCTGTCATAGACGCACGAACACAACAATATATGTGACGGCGTCGCGAAGCCCAGCGATAAGCTACGTGGTAAGCTTTCTCTGATTTTTTCCTTCTTTTCTTTCACTTCTCAAAGCATCTCAAACAAAAAATTTGTTAGGTAAGGACGAGAAAATGTAAATAGAACGTTTTTCCTTCTGGATCCCTCTGTATGTCAACGTACAAACATTGCGTAAAAAAAAAAAACAAAAAACAGACTTAGCTACATTTACTACTCACTTTTCAAGACATAAATGTGCAACAGATTTTATTCTAAAGATATATCAAGAGTACAAAGCTTAAGAAAATATGACTTCATATGACTATTTCCACAATTAACGATAATAAATCCCGATTTTTCTTCCTGGGACCTGGCAGACAGATAATTGTTATTTTCTGTTTCCAGAGGATCCCGCACGAACAGTTTTCAATGATTAATATAGGTTCCGCGATTGGACGAAAAATGGCCTACTTTTTAACATCCTCCTGCCAAAGTGCTTCGCGCAGTTAGACGTCAGCTTGAGTACGCGAGCTCTGTCTGGTCTTAAGCTCCATTTACGCGATCGTACTTGCGTCGAATCGTTTGTCAAACGTGTGTCCAAAGACGCGACAGGTCGGAGTGATGGATAGCGTCTTTCTTTCTCGGCTGCTTTCGCGCGCGCACACGAGCATACGCGCCGAGCCGGCGTGCCGGGGAAAACTCTCGCGCGCTGCTTCGTTAACATCGCGCGGAGACGACGATCTTCCGACGTGACCGGCGCGCGAAGACGGATTTCGCGAGCGATTCTTAGCGACCGAGATACAAAAAGAGACCGGATTTCACGGGGTGCGACGCAACGCGAGCAATACAAAAACAAGCCGACGCGAAAGACAATAAGTCGCGGAGAGAAGTGCTCGGCGTCGCGTTGAGAGACGCGGGGTCCTTTTCAATGTAGATCGCCGTCGGTAGCGTCTCCTAATGAGCCCGACCGCTCGTAAATATTTATTCGTCCCGTAGGCGAGGAGACAATACGCGAGACGTCGAATTATACCACCGGGACCGCGGAAGACGGACGGAAAGGAGAAAGAGAAGGAGAGGAAGAGAGAGAGAGAGAAAGAGCCATTTCGAAATTATCCTCTCGTTAAGGGGTAGTTATTATGATCAGGCAAAATTACACGGCGTGCGTGGGGGACTTGTTTACCGAACTGCGTGGCCTGAGAGCCCGGGTTGCGGGTAACTGACACGGAGCAATTTGTCCGGCTCGCGATAACCGCCGGCGTCTCTCTTTGGTGATTGCTGAATTATTAACTCGCTGGGGAGGTAACGTAATGACGAGACATTAGTGCGGTTTGCGCCTCGTCGCGCCGATTGCCTTTCTCTCTTCCAGTTTGGAAATTAGCCAGTCGTGCCGGCGCGAAAGAAAGCAACCTCCTCGAGATCCCGCGAGATCGTTTCCGACGAAGCGAGAGGCGCGACGAATCCCGGGAATCGGCAAAGTGTAAATGCTGAGAGAAAGAGACAGATAGATAGATTTATTCAATCTGAGGGAAGTAATATCTTTAAACATACAAATACAAATACAGAGAATACAGCAAGAAATAATAGATAGTTAATAAGTTTGAATTAAAATAAGATTTCTGCAATTATAATAATAAAATAATTCGAGCCGAAATTTGGTCCTATGTTAAACCTTGAATTCTACAACACAGTAGGAGCTAAGTTAGTAAAGTAGGTTTAATTCTAATGATATAATTTATTCCTATTTTGATTCTGATAATATCTGAAATTTTCTTTTTTATTTTCTTTAGCGTCAAAATAGGTTATATTATAGGCTTCAGAATATCAAAATAAGTGTTGAATGGAATGATAAGGCTGAAAGAATAGAAACAAAATTTTTACTCGGGAATAGAATAGAATTTTTACTCGGGGCTAGATGGACAAAAATAGTTATGTTTTACAATGTTTGAATATTAAACTAATATAGTGTA